GCTATGGCCTGGGAAAGCAGCAGAAGGCCCAGGTACTTGGGCCCCTGCACCTGCATGGAAGACCTAGAAGAAGCTCCTGGCTCCTGGCTTCAGATCAGCCCAGCTCTGGGTGTTGTGGCCATTTAGAGAGTGAACCAGCGGATGGAAGACCAACCTCTCTCTCTGTGCCTCTGCCTCTCTGTAACTCTGCCTTTCAAATAAGTAAATCTTGAAAACGCCAAGGGCTAAGGAGAGACTGCAGGCCCCATGTGAGTGTCTGGACTTCAGTTTTGACAAATGACTCCATGAAGGTGGCCGTGTGGGGACACAGACGTCTGCAAGTCCTGCCAGTGTCAGCGCCAGCGCTGCAGGGACAAGAAGCCACCTCCCGGGGCCCAGGGGCCAGCCTGCAGCTGTCTGAGCACTAAACCAGTAATAGAGGCGGGCGTTAGACGAAAATCTTAATACTGAAGTAGCAGCACCACGACTTCCGCTTCTGCCCAGCACAGACCAAAAGGACCCGATTCACAGCTGGAATAACGGGACGGGGAGAAGCCCGGGCAGGAAGCGAGAGCTTGGGAGAAGCTCCACCCGGCCGTGGAGACACTGTGGACGTGAATGGGGGCAGGGAGCCAGCGCGCTGCCCTGGTTTGCTGCTGGAGGGGTCTCTAGGCTGTGGGACAGGGGTGGGGACCTGGGGACCCCCACATGAGGAGATGGTGCTGACAGTCCTGGGGTACTGTGGTGGCTGACTGCAGGACGGGGCTGCAGAGCCTCAAGACACAGACGGGCCTCGCTTAGGCTGGGGGCATGGGGCACCCCGAGATGAAGGCTGTTATGTGCACATGGGTGAGTGTGCTCCGGGGTACAGGTGTGTGGGGTGTGTGTGTTCCCTAGGGTGCAGGTGTGTGGGGTGTGTGTGTGCTCTCTGGGGTGCAGGTGTGTGGGGTGTGTGTGTTCCCTAGGGTGCAGGTGTGTGGGGTGTGTGTGTGCTCTCCGGGGTACAGGTGTGTGGGGTGTGTGTGTTTCCTAGGGTGCAGGTGTGTGGGGTGTGTGTGTTCCCTAGGATGCAGGTGTGTGGTGTGTGTGTTTTTCTCTGGGGTGTAGGTGTGTGGGGTGTGTGTTCTCTGGGGTGCAGGTGTGTGGAGTGTGTGTTCCAGGGTGCAGGTGTGTGGGGTGTGTGTGTGTGTGTTCTCTGGGGTGCAGGTATGTGGAGTGTGTATGTTCCAGGGTGCAGGTGTGGGGGTGGGTGTGTTCCCTAGGGTGCAGGTGTGTGGTGTGTGTGTGTCCCAGGGTGCAGGTGTGTGGGGTGTGTGTGTTCCCTAGGGTGCAGGTGTGTGGGGTATGTGTTCTCTGGGCTACAGGTGTGTGGGGTGTGTGTGTTCTCCAGGGTGCAGGTGTGTGGGGTGTGTGTCCTCCAGGGTGCAGGTGTGCAGGGTGTGTGTTTATGGTGCAGGTGTGTGGGGTGTGTGTTCTCCAGGGTGCAGGTGTGCAGGGTGTGTGTGTTTATGGTGCAAGTGTGTGGGGTGTGTGTTTATGGTGCAGGTGTGTGGGGTGTGTGTTTATGGTGCAGGTGTGGGGGGTGTTTGTTCTGGGTGCAGGTGTGCGGGGTATGTGTTTATGGTGCAGGTGTGCGGTGTGTGTGTGTGTGTTCCAGGGTGCGGGTGTGCGGGGTGTATGTTTATGGTGCAGGTGTGGGTGGGGTGTGTGTCCTCCAGGGTGCAGGTGTGTGGGGTGTGTGTTTATGGTGCAGGTGTGGGTGGGGTGTGTGTCCTCCAGGGTGCAGGTGTGCGGGGTGTGTGTTTATGGTGCAGGTGTGGGTGGGGTGTGTGTCCTCCAGGGTGCAGGTGTGGGGTGTGTGTTTATGGTGCAGGTGTGCAGGGGGAGTGTGTTCTCCAGGGTGCAGGTGTGCGGGGTGTGTGTTCTCCAGGGTGCAGGTGTGCGGGGTGTGTGTTTATTGTGCAGGTGTGGGGTGTGTGTTCTCCAGGGTGCAGGTGTGGGGTGTATGTTTATGGTGCAGGTGTGGGTGGGGTGTGTGTCCTCCAGGGTGCAGGTGTGCGGGGTGTGTGTTCTCCAGGGTGCAGGTGTGCGGGGTGTGTGTTTATTGTGCAGGTGTGGGGTGTGTGTTCTCCAGGGTGCAGGTGTGCGGGGTATGTGTTTATTGTGCAGGTGTGGGGTGTGTGTTTATGGTGCAGGTGTGGGGTGTGTGTTTATGGTGCAGGTGTGGGGTGTGTGTTCTCCAGGGTGCAGGTGTGGGGGGTGTGTGTTCCCTAGGGTGCAGGTGTGGGGTGTGTGTGTTCTCCAGGGTGCAGGTGTGCAGGGTGTGTTCTCCAGGGTGCAGGTGTGCGGGGTGTGTGTTTATGGTGCAGGTGTGCAGGGGGTGTGTGTTCTCCAGGGTGCAGGTGTGGGGTGTGCACCAGTTCTCCAGGTGCAGGTATCGTGGTTTGGATCAGCTTCTCAAGGCTGACGCACGTGGCTGAGACCTGGGCTCCTGAGGACAGAGGGCGCCCGGGGCCCACTTGGCGGGCCCTTGCCTGGCCCCTGGTTAAAGAGCTGGGACCCAGCTGTCCGGCAGCTTTTCTGTGGGACACCCTCACCACACTGCCACCGAGAGGGCACCAGGGGGCGCCATGGAGTCTCACAACTCCCTTCAGTGTCCCCTAGAGACCCCCTGAAGCCCCTCACAAAGTCTCGAAGGCAGGGAGCACCACTGGGCCTCCTGCTGGGAAGTGGGGCAGGCAGCGGGGAGAGCAGACCCCACCCCGGCTGAGCTCAGCGTGTCTGGGCCAGGCCCAGTTGGCACAGACCGGGTCCCACCCCTCACTCACACGCGTTTGGCGGCTGCCAGAGCGGCCAACGAGGCCTTTGTCATTTGGGTCTCACAGGAGGTAGGAGGAGCAGCTGCTGGGACAGAGGAGGCGCTGAGCTGCACGGGACCACGTGGTGGGCACACGTGAGGCTGAACCTGGAGTCCCCGCCTCCCCCCAGCCCTGGGCTCCGGCCGCGGCTCCACCACCCACCAGTGCTCTTGCTGCAAGGGGCCTGGCTGCTTCACCCCCGGTGCCCAGGATGGAGAGGGCAGCTTGGACCTGGGGTCTGACTGCTGGGGCATCAGCCTAGTCCCGATGGGAACAGCGACGGAAGGCTGTGTCCTGTGTGTGTGCCCACGGCACCCGGCTCTCTCCCACCTCGTCTCTCTTGTACCTCCACAGAGCAGCGGGCACAGGGCCTGGCTCAGAGTGAACCTCTTCCAACATTTGCTGGATCAACGTGAAACAGGACAAACACCAGCTGCGTCTGGAACTGTACTGCACCGACTTAAGGTGTAATGAGGTCACAGAATTGTTTTACTTTTCACTCCAATCTGCCCGCATCGCGGGAGGGCAGTCTCGTCCCCTCGGTGCCACACACAGCCACACACGCCTCCTACTGGAGCTCGGTGGCTGTCCTGTCCGACCCCCGAGGAGCCACGTCCCACAGCCGCGGCCCCAAGCAGCTGTCGTCCTCCTCTGGGACCCCAAGTGCCAGCTTGCTTCCTGGGGCCCCGCACCTCAGGGAAAAGCAGCTCTTTCTTCCCAAGTCTGGAGCCCCAAGGCTTCATCACACCGGGAGACGGGGCCGCTGGTCGGGGTCCCGACCGGCACGGGGCAGCAGGTGTGACTGCGGTCTCCTCCCCAGAGGAGGCGCCGACCCCTCCCGGCCTGCAGAGGCTCTGTCCTCGGGCTGCCAACGGGCACCTTTCTCCTGCCTGACGATGCCAGAGTAGAAAAAGGGAAGCCACGGGTGGGGGTTGCGTGCAGCAGGTTAAGCTGCACCCCACGTTGGAGCGCGGGCTCTGCGCCGCTTCTGACGAGGCTCCCGGCTAATGCGCCTGGAAAACAGCAGATGCTGGCCACCCGTGTGAGAGACGCGGATGCAATTCCTGGCTCCTGCCTGGCCCAACCTCAGCTGTTGCAGCCATGTGGGGACTAAACCAATGGATGAAGGCTCTCTCCCTCTGTCACTCTGCCTTTCAAATTAAATAAATAAATAAGTCTTTTTTTTAAAGAAAAAGGAGACACCCCCCCGGGCGCCCCCTTCCCTGGGCGGCTCCTGCATTTACGCCAGTGCCCCTGCCCGGGCCAGGGCTGTGGAGCGGGCACCCTCGTCCACTATGTGACCTGGAGCCAGGCGGCGGAGCCCACGTGAGGGAGCACAGCCGCCCAGGGGAAGGAGCCGCTCTGAGCCCTCGACCAGGGTGGTTCCAAAAGCTTCTTGTCCCGGGCGAGAGCAGGGGGCCGGAGCCGACAGCAGCAGCGGGAAGAGCCCAGCCAGGACGGTGCCAGCGGCCCAAGAGCAGAGGCCTGGGACACACACCTGGTGGGCTTTCTCCAACCGGGGTCTTTGGAGCATCCAGAAGAACCGGCGACACCGCGCGGTGACAGACTTTCCCAGTGAGTGACAGGTCAGCTCTTCCTCCCTCTGTCGCAGCCACACCCCGTCTCGGCCCCAGTCTGCGGCTGGGCGGATCCTGCACTTGGCTCTGGACAGGAGCCTGACCTCAGAAGCTACCGATGACCACTGAGAGGCCGGCGCGGTGCTCGCCCGGCACACGCGGCCGGCGCAGAAGGACTTCCCAGGGCCCTGGGGACCCGGGCTGGGCAACGCCCACGCCTGCTGCTCCAGAAGCCAGCACAGCCCGTCACGGGATGCCGCCGGGACGCACAGCTGTGTGTGCTCCCTGCTGCCCCGGGGCCAGCCGCAGCCCACGCCGTCCAACCCAGCTCCCTGCTGATGCTCCTGGGAAAACAGCGGGAGACGCCCAAGTGCTTGGACCCCTGTACCCACGTGGGAGACCTGCATGAAGCTCCTGGCGCCTGGCTTCAGCCTGGCCCAGCCCTGGCTGTCGTGGCCACTTTGGGGGTGAACCAGCAGGTGGAGGATTTCTTTCTCTCTGTCTCTCCATCTCTGTCACTCTGCCGTTCAAATAAATAAATTGTTAAAAAATTGTAAACAGTGGCATCATTAAGTGCAAAGCCTGATCCAATAAGAAATAAAATTTTAATCTCTTTTACAATAAGTATTCGCATAACGAGAGCAATGGTTTTCGTCAGTGCGCCAGCAGAGGGGCTTTGGTCTGGGGGCGCTGGGGGCTGAGCCGGCGGCCGGCTGCTCCAGGCTCGCACTTCGCAGCCACAGGCTCCAGCTGCCGTCAGCCCATCAAAGGCACTGTTGTCAAGTAACGAAATTTCATGGCGATGCCCGGCTGCCGGTGACGTCAGCGGGCCTGGAGACAGGGCCAAGCGGTCGCCGGGAGCTCCTGAGGTGCTCCTGCCCCTGGCCAAGGACGCGTGGGCGGGCAACCGTGCCCAGGAGACCGAGGGTGTTTGGGGAGGCCGCCGTGCCGCTGGGAGGGCGCGGGAGAAGCCAGCACCTGCTCTGGCTTCAGCGACAGCTGGCCTGGTTCCCTCATTACCCCCTCGTGTACTGACAGTCTCACCAGCTGCTTGGGATGAGCCGCCTCCTGGTCTCCATGGCAACTGTCCCCGGCAGGCCACCTCTGCCACTGGCCCTGCCTCCCACTCACAGGACGTCCTTGGCAAGTCCACTTTCGTATTTGTCACCCACGAAGTGACTTGCTCCGCTTCCACCCAGGGAAGAAGTCCGGAAAGTCCCCGGGGCCTGAGTCAGGCTGCAGCAGGGAGAGCTGAGTCAGGGACACACAGCCTCCCCAAGCAGGCAGCTCTGTGCCCAGCAGCAGGGACGAGCAGTGGCCCCGGCCTTGTACAATCCCAGGCCATCAGATGGGCGAGGGCCTGGGCCCCGCTGCGGGGGATTCGAGAGCCAGGAACTGAGTGGCAGCTGCAGCTTCCAGCCGGGGCTCCCAGCAGGGGACGCCAGAGAGAGGAGTCCGCAGCCCAGGCCCCGAATCCAGGGCTCAAAGGGCGGCAGCTGGGCCTTGCCGAGGGCTGGGTAGGAATGCAGAGTCCCGGGCCCGCCGAGACCTGCAGTCAGGAGCCTCAGCCAGTGACATCCCCGGGCGAGTCATTGGCACAAAACTCAGAGGCTCTGGGGGGTCCAGCCTCCCCTGGGACCCACATGAGGCCTGAGGCCCCTCTCCCTACAGAACCTTCCAGAAGCACTAGGGGTGGCTGCCAGGAGGGGTTCACTGGCATCACCCATGCCCGGTGAGCTGTCCCCTGCATGAGACGAGGGTGACCAGGAAGGGGAAGTGTCGCAGGCTGCAGGAGAACCCCACAGCCGGGCTCCCTGGGACAGGAGCCCCCAGGGAGCTGTTCCCGGCCCGTGCACCTGTGTGTCGGCCCCTGAGCTTGCCTTCTGGCCTGGTCTGCGCAGCGGCCACCCCCTGCCAGCAAGCATCATGGCCACTTTCAGCACCGTCTGAACGTGAACTTGGAAAGGTCGGTCTTGAGAGATCCGGAAGCGGACCATGGAGGGTCAGCTCCAGCGAGGGCCCTGGGCGGGGAGGCGGGGTGCCCCCCCCGCACCTGGCTGCCCCGAGGCCTGCTCGGGGGGACCCTCTGGGCAGTACTCCCGCTCGATGCTGGCCATCAGCTCCTCTTCCGAGGGGTCGTAGGAGACGGCACACTGCTTCTCGGGCCTCCTGTGGCTGCTCCCTGGGGCTCTGTAGGTGAGAACACAGGCCGGGCTGAAGGGAGGCGGGCCCCTCACCTCCGTGGCAGCCCTGAGAACTGCCAGTCCCAGTGGAGGCCAAGGCTAACGGGGAGCCGAGGAAGCAGTGACAGACGGAGCACCACGCACAGCGCCGCGCCTCCCTGTTCTGATTGGACGGGTGGGTGGGAGTGGGGAGCAGGACGCAGAGGGTCCGGGATGCGTGGTGGGGCTGAGGTCATGACCTTGTTCCAGAGGAAGCTCAGAGCTCTGCCTCTCACCCCCAGGGACCAGGGCCCCGTGCCACCCACAAGGGTCACCTGCCCCTCACCTCCAGGGGCCCTGTGCCACCCACATGGAGTCACCTGCCCCTCACCTCCAGGGGCCCCGTGCCACCCACAGGGGGTCACCTGCCCCTCACCTCCAGGGGCCCTGTGCCACCCACAGGGGGTCACCTGTCTCTCATCACCAGGGACCAGGGCCACCCACAGGGGTCACCTGCCCCTCACCTCCAGGGGCCCCGTGCCACCCACATGGAGTCACCTGCCCCTCACCTCCAGGGGCCCCGTGCCACCCACATGGGGTCACCTGCCACTCACCTCCAGGGGCCCTGTGCCACCCACAGGGGGTCACCTGTCTCTCATCACCAGGGACCAGGGCCCAGTGCCAGCCACAGGGAGTTACCTGCCTCTCACCCCCAGGGACAAGGGCCCAGGCTACCCACAGGGGGTACCTGCCTCTCACCTCCAGGGACCAGGGTCCCGTGCCACCCACATGGGTCACCTGCCTTCACCTCCAGGGACCAGGGCCCCAGTGCCACCCACATAGGTCACCTGCCTCTCACCTCCACGGACCAGGGCCCCAGTGCCACCCACAGAGGGTCACCTGCCTCTCACCTCCTGGGACCAGGACCCCAGTGCCACCCACATGGGGACATTCTACCTGTCGCCTTTAGGGACTAGGGCCCCATGCCACCCACAAGGGGCTGCCCTGGAGCAACGGTGGGATGGGAGGGCTTTGGGGGCAGCGGGTGGCCCTCAGAGGAGGCCGAGACTGCTGGGACGAGAGACGCTCCGGGTACTCACTCAGGGGCACTGCTGCTCCCCACACGGTCTTCAGAGCTGCGATCTGGGGGCGCCTGGGGAGGGGAGAGAGGAGAGGCTGTCACGGTCGGCAGGGCGCAGCCTGCCCAGTGTCCCGGCTCTGTATGGACGGATGCAGCCACCATGTACAGTCTGGGAGCCATGGGCTCTCCCAGGCTGGGACTCCCACCCGCCCACTTCACAGGTCACAAGACTGAGGCCCCGCTGCAGGAGTGACTCACAAAGCTCACGCAGAGAGCAAGTGACAGAACCAGAGACCCAGACTCCTGCCTCCTGGGGTGCCAACCACATGGGTCACCTGCCTCCCACCTCCAGGGACCAGGGCCCCGTGCCACCCACATGGGTCACCTGCCTCCAACCTCCAGGGACCAGGGCCCCGTGCCACCCACATGGGTCACCTGCCTCCAACCTCCAGGGACCAGGGCCCCGTGCCACCCACATGGGTCACCTGTCTCTCACCTCCAGGGACCAGGGCCCCGTGCCACCCACATGGGTCACCTGCCTCCAACCTCCAGGGACCAGAGGCCCCGTGCCACCCACATGGGTCACCTGCCTTCACCTCCAGGGACCAGAGGCCCCGTGCCACCCACATGGGTCACCTGTCTCCAACCTCCAGGGACCAGGGCCCCGTGCCACCCACAGGGGTCACCTGTCTCCAACCTCCAGGGACCAGGGGCCCCGTGCCACCCACATGGGTCACCTGTCTCTCACCTCCAGGGACCAGAGGCCCCGTGCCACCCACATGGGTCACCTGCCTCCAACCTCCAGGGACCAGAGGCCCAGTGCCACCCACAGGGGGTCACCTGTCTCTCACCTCCAGGGACCAGGGCCCCGTGGCACCCACATGGGTCACCTGCCTCTCACCTCCAGGGACCAGAGGCCCCGTGCCACCCACATGGGTCACCTGTCTCTCACCTCCAGGGACCAGAGGCCCCGTGCCACCCACATGGGTCACCTGCCTTCACCTCCAGGGACCAGGGCCCCGTGCCACCCACATGGGTCACCTGCCTCCAACCTCCAGGGACCAGGGCCCCATGCCACCCACATGGGTCACCTGCCTCCAACCTCCAGGGACCAGGGCCCCGTGCCACCCACATGGGTCACCTGTCTCTCACCTCCAGGGACCAGGGCCCCGTGGCACCCACATGGGTTACCTGCCTCTCACCTCTAGCTACTTACTTGGCTTCTGACCCTGCTAATATACCTGGGAAAGCAGCAGGTGATGGCCCAAGTCTCTGCTGCCCATGTGGGAGACAAGGAGGGAACTCCTGGCTCCTGGCTCAGACCTGGCTGTTGCAGTCATTTGGGGAATGGACCATCAGAGGGAAGCATCTCTCTCTCTCTCTCTCTCTCTCTCTCTCTCTCTCCCCTTTCCTCTCCCTTGTTCTTGCTCTGCCTTTCAAATAAATATAAACATTTGAAAAAAGGATTAGAGAAAACCAATAATATTTTGAGACACACAAAAACTCATGAGTTTACCTTCTATAACCCTTTCTGGGTGGAAAAATGGTTTTAAAAGATCTGTTAAAAAACCCACAGAAGACAGGGGCTCCATAAGCCTGACAGAATTAACATGGAGCCCCTGGAAACTCAGGACGTGGCGTGCCAGGCCTGGAGAGCCACGGCCCACGTCTGAGGTTTCGTGGCACCGAGTGACCCGTTGCTAAGAGCACGTCCCCCTCCCCCGCCCTCGTTCTCCTGCGCCCCGCGGGTGCCCCCGCAGACACAGCGGGCTCTGAGCTCAGAGGCTGGGCCCTGGTGGCCTGTGGCTCCCATTAGGGTCAGAAATCCAGGCAAAGCGGGCACAGCCTGCAGGGGCACTGCGGGTGTTCAGCACAGGGAGGGAGGGGCGCAGTCACCTCTCCCCCACTCCCTCCCCCAGGAAGCAGGCGCTCTGTGATGTGTATGAGTCTGTCCTGACTGTACCCATGGGAAACCTGCTACGCGGGACAGCCCTGGGGTGGAGGGCAGGGAGGATGCCCATTGTCCTGAGTGGCACAGGGCCAGTCCCAGCAGACACCACACGGGGCACGGGGCTGCACTGCCTGCCTAGGACCCTCGCTTGTTCATCTGTTCACTTATTAAACACGGAAACAAAGAGACAGAGACAGAGATCTTCCATCTGGTTCACTCTCCAAATGCCAGGAAGAGCCAGGACTGGGCCAGGCCGAAGCCAAGAGCCTGGAGCTCCATCCAGGACCCCCACCAGCTACCTAAGGACCGGGTGCTGTGCTCCGGGGGTGCCGGCGACCCCACTGGAGCCAGCAGTGGGCTGAGCAGTGTCTGTGAGATAGGAGGGCGTGGCATGGCAGCAGCCAAGAGCTCCAGGTAGAGAAGGGGCGGGCACTGGCGCTGTGGCGCGTCCAACCAGCACCCACAGGAGTCCCGGCTGCTCCATCTCCGATCCAGCCGCCTGCTAACGCACCCGGGGAAGCAGCGGAGGACGACCCAAGTGCCTGGTCCCTGGCCACCCAGATGGGAGACCAGGATGGAGTTCCAGGCTCCTGGCTGCAGCTGGTGCAGCCACTGGGGGAAGTGACCCAGTGGACGGAAGGTCTCTCCCTCTGTCACTCTGCCTTTTAGACAAATAAATAAACCTTTTTTTTTTTTTTTTTTTTTTTTTTGACAGGCAGAGTGGATAGTGAAAGAGAGAGAGACAGAGAGAAAGGTCTTCCTTTGCCGTTGGTTCACCCTCCAATTGGCCGTCGCGGCCGGCGCACTGCGGCAGGCGCACCGCACTGATCCAATGGCAGGAGCCAGGTACTTCTCCTGGTCTCCCATGGGGTGCAGGGCCCAAGCACTTGGGCCATCCTCCACTGCACTCCCGGGCCACAGCAGAGAGCTGGCCTGGAAGAGGGGCAACCGGGACAGAATCCGGCGCCCCGACCGGGACTAGAACCTGGTGTGCCGGCGCCGCTAGGTGGAGGATTAGCCTAGTGAGCCGCGGCGACCGCCAAATAAACCTTTATAAAGCAAAAGAGACCCCCCCCCCCAGCTCCTCCCCAGGGCTGAGCTCCCTGGGCAGGGCTCTCGGGTCTCAGCCCCGGCTTCACCACTCTGCAAATACGGCTATTGTGAGGGATTTGAAAGCGACCATCAGTGTGCCTGGCCCCTAACAGTGCTTCATGCTAAGTACTCAGTCAACAGCAACCGCTACAGTAGAGTGAGCGCTCACCGCTGCTGATGCTGGCTCGGTGCCTGTTGGCCGTGGTTACTTCTACCGTCAGCAGAGCAGGGCCGGGCCCTCGGCTGCCCCCTAACTAGTCCTCAGTCCACACTGGCGCACCCTCCCCAGCTGAGCGCCCAGTCCCCCAGCTGCAACTCAGACCGTGGGGAGCTCCTGGTCAGGCGGGGAGTGGAGCTGGGGTCGGTGGCACCGCACAGCACGGCCGGCCCAGTTTCGCCCCCGCGGGTGGGCTCCGAGGTCTAAGCCTCATCTGCATACTGGGGACGCACCCCAGGGGGTGCTGTGAGCCAGGAGACAGCACATGCAGGTAACATCCTGAGTGACACGGGACCCAGAAGCCCGCCCAGCTCCTGGGAAGGTGTGGTCTCAGGGAGCCGGGTGCACCTTGAGGTCGGCCCAGGGATGCCCCCCTCTTGCAGGCTGGGCAGAGGCCGGCCATTCTTCCCCAGGAAGTCACCTGAAGTGACCCCTGGGAAATATGAATGCCACTAAACCCCAAGCTGACAACAGGGCTGTCCTGCGGAGGTCTCAGGCCCTGCAACCCCCTGGCTGGAGACCTTGGCTCTTGCCCACTCGGCTGCAAGGCATGGGCCGGGGATCACCTCAGGGGTGATCACCTGTGCGTGACTTTTCCAGGCGCCACACAGAATGCGGGACATGGGATGGAAAGCAAAGACACGGCAGCCCCTGGGGGCGGCTCCAGGCCCGGGGCAGACACAGCTCCCACCGCTGGCGCCTGCCGGTCTGGACCTGGGCGGTGTGCGGGCTGGGCTGGGGCCGTGGGAACGGGAGCGCAGAGTGACACAGAAGAGCTGCAGACGGTTCAAGATGAGCTTTGGACATGTAACACAGGCACCCATGTGAGGGGATTTCAAAAGGGTCGTGGGAAGTAGAAATCTACTGGAGTCCACACACAGTTTCGTCACAGTACGCATTTTCCGTAAGCTGCCCCTCCACCATCGGGACAGCACACAAGCTCACTGCCTCCCGAGCGCCCCGGGGCGCTGTGTTAGTTTCTGTCTGGTTTCTGTCTCCCCAAGCTTCCCGCGATCCACGCGTGTTCACCAAGAGTTCATTTCCTCTCACTCCACTGACTGTATAGACTTACCCTTCCTCTTATCTAAAAAGTATCATTTGAATCCCTGGTTGTTTTGTTTGTTTCATTATTATTATTTTTTTTTTTTTGACAGGCAGAGTGGACAGTGAGAGAGAGAGAGAGATAGAAAGATCTTCCTTTGCCGTTGGTTCACCCTCCAATGGCCGCCGCGGCCGGCGCACCACGCTGATCCGATGGCAGGAGCCAGGAGCCAGGTGCTTTTCCTGGTCTCCCATGGGGTGCAGGGCCCAAGCACCTGGACCATCCTCCACTGCACTCCCTGGCCACAGCAGAGGGCTGGCCTGGAAGAGGGGCAACCGGGACAGAATCCGGCGCCCCGACCGGGACTAGAACCCGGTGTGCCGGCGCCGCAAGGCGGAGGATTAGCCTAGTGAGCCGCGGCGCCGGCCCTTGTTTCATTATTTTATGATGAGAACCTGGCAATAAGGTAGCAGACCTAGTACCCAACTCCCAGCTGCCAGGATTCTCAGCGTGTGGTGTTGCCACACTCACCACCAGAGGGCACTGTTCTCCCATGCTGGGGTCAGCGCCCTGGCTTCCAGGCAGCCGCATCTGGGAGAGGCTTTGCAAGGCTAAAACGCCAAGGACCCATTCCAAAAGGGTCCAGAGAAACAGCCCTTGGCCGTGAGCCTCCAACGGTGAGGGCCACGTCCCAGGAAGGAGTTTCCAACCTCCAGAGAAAGAAGGTGAGGCAGGCCCAGCTGTGGATGGGATGGAGTACCTGGCCCAGTCCTGGGGAGCAAACCAGCAAGTGGAAGATCTCTCTCTCTCTCTCTGTGTGTGTGTGTCACTTGGCTTTCCAAATAAATAAACATCATTTTTTAAAAAAAGGGGTTATAGAGAGGGAGAGAGAGAGACATTCCACCTGCTGGTTCACTCCTCAGATGGCCACAGCAGCCAGGGCTGGGGAAAGCCAGGAGCCAGGAGCTTCTTCCGTGTCACCCATGTGCGTGCAGGGCTATCTTCCTCTGCTTTCTCAGGAGCATTAGCAAGGAGCTGGACCGGAAGTGGAGCAGCCGGGACCCGAACCAGCACCCATATGGGATGTGGCATCAGAGGTGGAAGTTTAACCCACTGCACCAGAACACCGGCCCTAGAGGACGTTCCCTCCCTTCCTTCCTGTCCCCACTCGGCCTTTTCCCTGTGCTCGGGACGTCTTCCAGCGTTTCTGCACAGGCGACAGTAACACGTCTGAGGGTCAAGTGCCCGTGCAGAGCTGACTTCTCGGCTTCCGATGCTTTGCTGGCTCAGTGGGGTCTTGCTAAGGCGTGGAAAGTCAGGGAATCCCGCGAAGGTCCCAAGAGAGGAAGCACAGACGCAGGACCCCTCTCCCCCAGCACACCCCCTCCCCAGCACAGGCTGCTCAGAGCCAGGCACCAGGATCCCAGGGGTGCACCTCGAGAGGAGGAGAGGACGGACCGCAGCTGCCGGCAACCACCTCCTCACCGGCTCCGGAGCTCGGCTCAGCCTCAGCCTGCTACCGGGGGACCCCCAGCCTGCCTGTCGGCTCCCCTCGGCTGTCCTTCTCCGTCCTGACCCTTCCGGGACGCACACAGCTTCCACAGTGCAGTCCAAGCCCTGCAGGGCGCGCCCACAGCAGGAGGTGCCCAGAGCTGGCAGAGACCTCATCCCGGCCTCCGGACACCCTCGTGTGCGTCCGGCCGCGCCCACCGAGCGCGCCAGGTCCGGCGCCCCACGCCCCTGTGCGCAGCGTCCCGGCGCTGTCCACTTCGGCGGCTGCCAGGCCCAGGGCGGGCCGTCGCCCTGACGCTCGGGCAGTCGGAGGGGCGAGGTCCCTGCTCACCGCTTCCCAGGCATCTGAAAACCAACACCGCGAGGGCTGGCGGAACCTTCCAGCTCCCGCCCGCGGCCCCTGGCCGTGTTATGTAACCGAGCGCTGATTCAGCCCCGCTGGCTGCGTGGGCTGTCCGCCTGTCCCCGCCCACGGCCACCGCCTCCGGGCCCCCAGAGGGTGCTGCCGCCCCCTGCCTCCTCTCCGGTCCGCTTCTACCGTGGCCCCGGCTCAGCGGGGCCGTCGTCACGAGTGTTCTGGAAGGCAGCTGGAGGCGGCTGGAAAGACCCCACAGCCAGGAACAGGGCTGCGGGGCCGGGGGTGCTCGCGGGGGCTCGGGGAGCGCGTGGGACACGCGGGGTGGGCGAGGGGCGCAAGGACCGCAGGGCCTGGGGAGGGGGCGGGCGGGCAGCGGAGGAGGCCCAAATCCGCGCGTGGGGATGCAGCCGCTAGGCTGGGGTCTCGCGCGCCCCCGACCCGTCCCGCGCACTCACCGCACTCCCTGCGCCCGCAGCGGGTCGGATCCGGGCCGGGCCGCGAGCGGGGGGCTCTAGGGCACCCCAGGTCTCCGACTCCGCCAGCAGCTGGTCCAGCAGGCGCAGGGTCTCCTCTCTGCCGTCGGGGGGCGCCGCCGGGCCGGGGTCCTGGTCCGCCGCGTCCCGCGCCGCCCCCGCGGCCTGTGCCGCAGTCGCCGGGCCCCGCGGCGCCGCCCCGCCCTCCGCGGCCGCCCCACCCACCCCCGGCCTGCGGCTGTCAGGGCTGCGCCGCCGCCTCTGCGCCCGGCCGCTCCGGCTGCTGCCGCTGCCCATGGCGCGCCCGCCGCCGCCCGGACGCCCGAGCAGGCCCTGCGCCGGGGCGCGGCCTAGCGCGGGAGCGCGGCCCGGGGCGGGGACGGATCCGGGGGCGGGGAGCGGGAGAGAGCGAGTGCAGGCGCGGGGGATCCCGGCCCTACCGGGACGCAGCTGCAGGCGCCGCCTCCCCGCCCCCCCCCCCCGCCCCGCGCCCGCGCCCGCGCCCAGGGGACCCTGCAAGCCCCCGGGGCGACCCCAGCCCGGCAGGTGCGGCGCTGTAGGCCCGTGCGGGGCACTGTGGGATCTCCGGGTCGACCCCGCAACTGGCCCTGCCGGAGCCCCTTCGCTCCACCCCCCACCCTGGGTTAAATGGGGCCAGAGGCGGGGGGAAGGCGGGCGCGGTCAGAGCGCCCGCGCGGGTCCAGACCGGGGAATTCGCGGGGCCTCGCATCTCAGCGCCCCACCCTCAATGCAGACGGACCCTCCTGGGACCCCGGCTCGCGTCTCTGCCTCTGCCCCGGAGTCCCCCGCAACCCCAAGCACCGCTCACTGGGGGAGAGTGGGCGTGTCCACGCTGCGTGAGACGGACAACGCTCCTCCCCGCCGTTTCCAGGCCGGAGCCCGGGGCGCCCATTGCCGCAGGTGCAGGGTGTCCGGGGCGCCGGGTGCCCGGGGCGCTGCTCGCGGACGGGACCTGGGCGTGGGGCTGCGGAGCCGCTGCGGGGTGGGATTTGGGCTGAACTTGGCCAGCCGCAGACTGGCCCTTCCCCCGTCTGACAGCTGCAGGGTGGGCGTGGAAACCTTGAGGCGGGAGAACAAGGAGTGAACGCGGGGCTGCAATCGGTTCCTGTGTGGCCGTCTCACGGAGAGAAGGAGAAGCCCACCCCCTCTTCCTGGTGTGCAGGGGTAGCCGAGGGGCCACGTGCAGGCCTCCACGCGTGTGGGGGCTCTAAGTCCACACAGGGCTCTAAGTCCCTTCAAGGAAGCAGCCCACCTTGAAACGCAGCGTCTGGGAGTAGGACTCAGGGAGACGACTTTTCATGAACCGACCCCCGCCGCCACAGGCACCGTAACTCGGGCCCGCGCGGTCCTGTCCTGCTCCCCCACACCTGCGTGGCGGCTCTGTTTCTGCAGGCGTGGAGCCAAGCTTGTTGTTCCCGTTCTGAGAGGACACTAAAGGTCGGCGCAGTTGTAGACCTGGCTTCCACCGAACACGATCAAAATCCAGAATGAGTTTTAAAATTGATTTACCAATTTCAGAGACCGGGAGAGAGAGAGCAAGGACTCCCACCCACTGTCCCACTCCCCGAGTGCCCGCACCCCTGGAAGCTCCGATCCGGGCCTCCCCGTGGGTGGCAGAGTCCAGTCCCTTGAGCCATGGCCGCTGCCTCCAAGGGTCTGCATTAGCAGGGAAGCAGAGTGGAGCTGCAGTCGGGAATCGAACCCAGGAGCTGCTGTGTGGGATGCGAGCCCCTAGCCAGCAGCGCAGTAGTCCCCAACAGTGGCTCCCATCAGAGGCCTCCCACAGCAAGCGACAGCGCCCCCAGTGCTGGCCCCTGGGAGTGCGGGTCCCGTCTCCTGCAGATCTGCTGCCCTGAGACGCCCCGAGGGCTGACTCACTTTTCCAGGAACCCACGGTTCCAAGCGGGAGACTTGGAGACCCCTTAGAAAACATAACTATGTTTTGTGGCATCGCGGGGTAAGCTGTTGCCTGTGATGCTGGCACCCCAGGTTCGAGTCCCAGCTGCTCCACTTCCAATCCAGCTCCCTGCTGATGCGCCCCGGGGAGAGCAGCAGAAGATGGCCCCAGTGCTTGGGCTCCTGCACCCACATGTGGGGACCCGGATACAGTTCCTGGCTTCAGCCAGACCCTGAGGTCTGTTGAGGTCATTTGGGGAGTGACCCAGTGAATGGAAGATACCTCTCTCTCTCTCTCTATCTCTCTCTGTCTTTCAAATAAATAATAAATAAATAAATCTTTTAGAAAAACATACTCAGGCCTGGCTTGGTTGGGATTATTTATCTTCGGAAGAAACTGGAAGGGAGGGGGAGGGGAGAAGTGGAGAGGGCATCGAGGTCAAGGAAGTGTGGAGTCGACATCCCAGAAGTTAGCCTTTGCAGTGCCACTGGCCAAGAGAATGTGCCATCGACAGGAACCCGCCCACTGTAAGCTCCAACACCCCACCATGGACAGCGGCTTCCTCAACGCGGAAGTGCTGGGTCTGGGTGGTCCCTGCTGGGCGCACCTACCCCAGGCCCCAGAGTGCCGGGAAAAGGCTCCGTCCACACGCTGGAGACGAGCCGGCCCCAGGCCTCCAGGGAGAGCTCAGGTTAAACATTAAGAGTCCTGGCTCTGCACCGGCAGCTCTCTAACTTGCTCAGTGAAGTCCCAGCCTGCTCCCATGGATTACTGATTAATGCCTGCGCAGTCTGTGCCAGGACTCCCGGCAAGCCACAGGGGTCAAGGCCCAGGGGAAGCGACTCTCCCTTCCCAAGCAGGCAGGCTCCACCCACTGGGGGCAGCCGACCCTTCCCCGGGGGCCCTAGTGCTCTGCCCCACCCCCATTTTTTGTTGTTGAAAGATCTGTTTATTTGAGAGGCACAGAGAGAGAGAGAGAGAGAGAGAGAGAGATGGAGGGAGATCTCCCATCCACTGGACTCCCCAGATATCTGCAACAGGGGGCTGGACCAGGCCAAAGCGGAAGCCCACACCCCATTGGGCTCTCCCACTGGATGCTTCCTACCCTTTGCAGACCTCAGCTCATTCACAGGCCTCACGACAGCCCTCTAAGGCGGAGAGGTGGTAAAACAGAGCGGAGCTTGCCTAAGGCCTCGGGTCCCTAGCCGTAGCCGCAGAGCTAGACTCAGCCCTAGCCTGGCGCCCCCAGGTTCTGCATTTGCTGGCTACACCCCAGTGAATGAGATGTGGGAGAACTGACTGCCGAGCTCGGAGCGTGAGGGCTACTCCTGGCGCGCGGGCACGTGCAGGAGGCTGCCCAGCCCTTCCTGTGCCTCTCCGCCAGACAGGAGTGTGGGGCCCGCGAGAAAGCCACCCCCGAGGAGCAGGGCTGCGCCCCGCAGCGGGGAGGTGCGTGGGGGCTGGCTCTGGGCCGCCTCGGTCCTCCGACACTGGGAACCCAGGCGCTGCAGGACTCGGCAGCTTTGGCCTTGGCCCAGCCGCACAGCCATCCCAGTCTGCACACTCAGGGTCAGGGTGTGCCTTCCTAGTGCATTCCCGGAGCCTCTCTGGATGGATCCATCCAGCGTGGGCCCCCGCACACTGCTCTCCAAACCCCGCCTCTGGGCGCACAGTAGGGACGCACGGCCGCCTGGGTGGGCCCAGGCCACTCTCGGGCTGTGACCCAGGACAGGGCGCTCAGTGCTGGGGCGTCTGTGCCCAGTTTCCCTTCTGCACTGTGGCTGGCAGCTCCATCAGCCTGGGTCTCCCGGGAGGACCACGGGGAAGGTCCCTGGGCCTGCTGGGGTGGGTGTGAGCCGGGAGGAGCTCTTGGTCCCTGCGGCGCTGCCTGTCGGCTGCCTCCACGGGAGGAAACCTGGATTCTGTGGGCTCCGCAGTGCCCTGGAGCTAATAAAGTTGGATTTCCAAGACGGTCCTGTTCTAGCTCATGGAGGGTTTAAAACAGGACAGATTGAGCAACAGAGTGACTCACTTTTAAGGATTTGCTAGTTTATTTATTGAAAAGGCACGTGGGGCCTGCTCTGTGGCATAGCAGGGGGGGCCGCTGCCTGTGGCGCTAGTATCCCACAGGAGCTGGTTCGAGTCCTGGCTGCACCAGGTCCTATCCGGCTTCCTGCCGATGCACCTGGGAAAGCAGTGGAGGACAGCCCAGTGCTTGCATCCCTGCACCAAATCCTGGCTTCCGATTAGCCCAGCCCCAGCCATTCGGGCCATTTGGAGAGTGACCAGCAGATGGAAGCCCTCCCCCACCCTCTTTCTCTCCCTCTCTCTGTAACTCTGCCTTTCAAATAAATAAATCTTTTTTTAAAAAGTTATTTTTAATCCACTGAAGAGTACTGATCCAAATGTACCAGAAAGTGAATTTTTTTAAGATTTGTTTTTTATTTGAAAGGCAGATTTACAAAGAGGCAAAAGCAGAGAGAGAGAGAGAGAGAGAGGTCTTCCATCCGCTGGTTCACTCCCCAGATGGCTGCAATGGCCAGAGCTGCACCAATCTGAAGCCAGGAGCCAGGAGCTTCTTCTGGGTCTCCCATGTGTGTGCAGGGGTCCAAGGACTTGGGCCATCTTCTGCTGCTTTCCCAGGCCACGGCAGAGAATGGAGCAGCCGGGACTCGAACTGGCGCCCACATAGGATGCTGGCACTGAGGTGCTGGCTTTACCCACTACACCACAGCACCGGCCTCCCATAAAGTGAATTTATCAGAAAACAAACTCCGTCTCTCCCCAGATGAGTTCAGTGTGATGGCACTCTGGGATGGTTTGTAGAGCAGCTCCCGCGGAGATGTCTGGGGCAGAGACACGAGCGGCCACGGCGTCCCCTCACCGAGCTCAGCGGCCAGTGGGAGGGACGGACCGTGGACTCAGTAAAGGGAAGGTGGACGCGGGCAGCAGCAGGTGCACAGTGGGGCGGGGGAGCTGACACGCGCGGCCCCAGCAGAAGCCGGCAAGCGCCAGGGAGAAGACAGCAGGGTGAGGGGTGCAGAAGCAGGGGGAGAGGAGATGGGAGTGGAGGGGAGAGGAGATGGGAGTGGAGGGGAAGTGGGATCCACATGCAGGGGCCTTACCACCTGCTTAGCAGGGTGGCCTTCAGCCGAGGGCTGGGGGGAGGGGTGTCCTCAGAGGGCTTGGGGCAGCCACTACTGGAAATGCACCAGCGAGCACGAAACCAAAGGCTTGGGGCCCAGCCAGGAGCAGTGGCGGGGGCTCTGGGAGTGCGGGGGTGCCCCCCACCCGCTCCAAGCCTTCCCGCGGCCTCGGGGTCTGCTCTCCTGCCTCCAGACTCAGCCCAGCCGCCTGGGAGGGACCCTGGGAGCCACCGCTGGAGAGAGGGACCCAGACCCAGGCGGCTCTGCCCTTGGGGCTGGCTCCTGGAGGGGGGGGCAGGCTCTCAGGTGGCAGAGATGCCAGGCACGTACCCATTGTTGAAAGCCCCGCAACAGTGCCGGGTCCTGACATTCGTGGGCTTGGTGTCGATTCTAGAATGAGGCAACACTTTGTCCCCTAAAACAGAGTGGGCTTCCCGGGGGCTGTGCCAGCAGATGTTTTACCCAAGGACGTGGGCCATCTTCCACTGCCCTCCCAGGCCCACTAGCAGGGAGCTGGGTCGGGAGTGGGGCAGCCAGGGCCCAAACTGTGCTCATATGGGGCCAGCATCACCCGCTGGACCACAGCGCCGGCCCCTCCGTCTCCATCTGTAGCTCGGTCTGTCTGGCCCCTGGGCAGAGTCTTGGTCCAAACACTGAGCTCCCAACATTTTTTATTTAACACCACAGAAAGACAGAGGAATCGTCGTGGACTGCAGGAGGTGGAGACATGACGGCTCAGTGTAGTCGGGACCCTGGCCCGGAAGAGCGACGTCGGGGCCCCTGGGGGCCGAGCGAGGCTGCGACGGCCACTGGTGCTCCCGGAGTCAGCTCCTCTCGGAACCCGCCCTGTGGCTCTGCCACAGCCCACGGC